CTGTGGAGGCGGTGTTCGGACCTCGGCCCCAAGGTCCCTCCTGGGCCCGCGAGCTGGATCTGGCCAAGGCGGCCCTGGACAAGGTTAAAAAACAGGATTTCTGGGGGGCCCACAAGCTCTTGGGTCCGTTGTACCAGGCGTGGGCGGACCGAGCCGAGTCCGACCTCGTGCCGATTCTTGGGGCCGAGCTGCTCAAGAAGGGCTGTCGTGGGTCGGGGCCTCAGTTGGTCTGGCGCTCACTTCTCACTGCCGACGGCCGCAGTAAGTACCCAGAGCACCGAGCTATTCGTTGGCTGGCGGCTCAGTGGCATGCCTTAGTTCTTGCTCGCCGTGCAGGCGACCTCCGTTTGTCGGATAAGCTGGGCCTCTTGCTTTGCCAGCCGCCGACGCTCATCGCGCAGCACATGGGCTCCAGGACCCATAGTTTTGATCGTGCTGCTCGCATTGCTGGCGCCTCCGACCAGACGATTGAAGACATTGAGGAGTTTGAGCTTGAGTTAAAAGATGAACTCGAGGCCGCCAACAAGTTCTTCGCCAAGCAGGCCCGTGATGACTGGTCTGCCTGGCTGCACGTCGGCGTCTCTTCGGGCTCGCGGCGAGTCCATCAGATCACCCGAGATCCCTCCCCGTGGACCCCGACCACCACGCTTAGCGCCAAAGGTTGCACCGTGTCTGACCCCCTCTCTTTGTTGCGGGCTGAAGGTGCTCGCTTTAGTGCTGCGTGGGGCCAGGGTTTGGGGGCCGTGCCTTCGGGGGTTATCCTGGAGCCTCTTCCTCGTCTCAGCGTCGACGAGATCAGAGCCGCCTCGAAACAATACAAGCCTGGTTCGGCCGTGTCCCTGGACGGGTTCCACTGCCGTCACTTCTCGCTCCTGGGAGATCCAGCGCTGGAGTGTCTCAGCATGATTTTTGCTCTCATTGAAGCCTTGGGTTGCCTGCCCCCCCAGATTTCGGTCGTCCTGCTTGCTCTCCTCTCGAAGCCTGCTGGAGGCTACAGGCCGATCGGGGTGTTCTGCTCCTGGTACAGGGTCTGGGGGCGTCTCCGTCGCCCCCTGGCCCTGGCCTGGGAACAGCAACACCCCAGACGGTACTGGGCCGCTGGCAGACATCGAGGGGCGGCCGACGTTGTGTGGAGACAGGCCGTTCGGTCTGAAGCAGGCGTCAAGAGCGGAGATGCCGCCTGCAGTGTCCTTTTCGATCTTCGTAAGTTTTACGAACACATCCCCTTGGCCGCCTTGCAGGAGAGATGTGCTCGGCATGGGTTCCCGCCCGTCATAGCTAGGGTGGCCCTGTTTGCTTACCAGTGTGGGCGCTTTCTCAGTTTGGGAGGCATCGTTGAAGGCCCCTTTTTTGTTTTGAGTGGAGTGGTGGCGGGCTGCAGCTTCGCCGCTACCTTCATCCGTGTCCACGGGATGGAGGGTTACGACAGGATCACTCGCCAGCCCAGACTTGAGCTCGATGTTTACATCGACGACCTAGGCCTCTCGTGTGTGGGCCCCCCCTCGAAGGTCATCGCCTCTGTGGTCGGTTGTGCGCAGCAGTTGAAGGGGGTGGTGGAAGAGGTTTTGGGTTGTAGCTTCGCTCTGGACAAGACCTGTATTGTTGCCTCTTCGCGTGCCGTCGGGGAGCAGGTCTCGTCCCAGTTGGCTGAGCTCTCGACCCAACCCTCATCCTCTGCTGTCAACCTAGGTGTCGACTACACAGCTGGTCGCGCCCTCAGGGTCGGAGGCCGATGTGCCAAGCTGAAGTCTAGGCTAGCGGCCGCCTGTAGGCGCACCAAGCGGCTTCGCAGACAGAATAAGGTGCTCAAGAGGGGCGCCATCATTAAGGTTTTTTCGGCTGGCCCTTTGGCCGGCGCCAGCTACGGGAGTGAGATCACGGGGACCTCCGATCATGACCTCCTTCTCCTTCGCAGGAAGCTTTTCGGATCGGTTCGTCCTCTCTCGAAGCTTCGTTCGCTCACCACCTCAGCCATCCTCGATTCGGACCCTTGTTGGAGAACCGCGTGCTCTCCCATTGTTCGGTGGTCGAAGGAAATCTGGCTGTCTCAGGTGGGAGAGTTCCCCTGGGCGATTGGCCTCCCCGAGCTCAGACGAGCTTGGACGAACATTTTTAGCCAAGAAGCGTGTTCCTGGCGCAGTGTGGCTGGCCCCCTCTCCGCCCTGCGCATGTCTCTCTATAGGATTGGTTGGGTGATGACGGATTTCATGACCATCAGAGATGACCGTGGCTTCGTCATCCCCCTTGGTCTGTTCTCCACCGCCCTTGTCAAAAAACTGTGCAAAGAGGCTTACTTGCGTATGTTGGAAAGAGACTCTGCGGCCAAGCGAGGGGTTAAGCACAGGCTTTGTTACGACATTGTCAAGGAAGCTCTTGCCAGCAGCAAGTTCAGTGCTCTCGAGAAGGGGAGGATCCGAGCCTTCGCCACCGAAGCTTTCCTCACTAAGGAGCGTGCGCTCCAGCTCGGCTACCAGACGGATGTTGGCTGCCAGTTCTGCGGGGAGCCCGATAGTATGTTCCATAGGCTGTGGAAGTGTCAGGGGGAGAGTATAGTGGAAAAACGCAACGCCTTGGTCAAGGCTGGAGAGATAGAGGCCGCGCTCGAGGCTGAAGGTGGCGACAGGTCTGCTTTGCTCCCGTTTATCTCTGGGGCTTTCGCCCATCCCGCCGACTTCAGCCCGAAGCCCGCGACGGATGCCGATGATGGTCTTATGGTTGTGTGGCATGACACCGATCAGGTCTCCCCTGTCGGCGGCCCCCTAGACAGGCAGCTCTGGGGGTCCCTTTTCATTGACGGCTCGTGCACTCGGCACCCCATCCGTGAACTTAGTCGGGCTGCGTCTTGCGTGGCCATGGTCGACTCTGTTGGTAGGTGTGTGGCCGAATTCAGAGCCCCTGTTTGGGCGCCCTATCCTCAGTCCCCGCAGAGTGCTGAGTTTTCGGCCTACACGTGGGCCCACATGCTCGGCATCCCAGGCCACGCCTCGGCCCTGTCTGATTGCCTCAACGTTGTTAAGATCGCTGGCCTGCCTAAGGCGGCCCACCTTTCTGGTCAGCGCATGTACTCGGGGGCTTTCCTCCAGTGTTACTCCACTGCGTCCTCTCTCCTCCCCGTTGAGAAAGTTGCTGCTCATAAGGACCGAGATGAGCAAGGCATCTCCAGCGAAGAGAGATGGCGTAGGCAAGGCAACTACTGGGCCGACGTTGGAGCCAAACATGCTTTAGACATGCATCCTAGCTCGGCCGAAGCCAATGATGTCACGGACAAATTTATCAAGGCGGCCCGCTGCACATTGCGCCTCGCGGCCCGCCTCCTGCCTTTATGGGACCCCATAGATCTGTCGGGTGCTGTATTGCTCAGTAAGCCTTCGGCTGCCTCAGCGCCCTTGCCACATGTCTGGAGACCCTGGGCGGGAGCGTGGAGGTGTGAAGTTTGTTTACGTGGCACTAGAGCCCTCGTTGAGCCCCCTCCTGGTTCCTGCAGTGGTCGCAGTAAACTAGATGAGGGCCGTCTCTTGGCTCTAGAGCATCGTGTTTTAGCGTTTGACTGCTCCGACAGCAGCGTTCTGTTCATCTGTGTGCGTTGCCACTGTCACTCCTCGGGCCAGAGAGTTCGCGGTTTGTCTGTGAAATGTGTTGGCCGTCCGACCAAGACCACGCGGACGGGATGGAACACGTTGTGCAAACGAGGCCTGCACCCCCAGTACAGCAAGAGGGAGGTCAGGGCCCACACAGGGAACATCATGAGCCTTTTCAGCTCAGTGGACGGAGTCCTTGGGCCTGACGAGCCTGCCGTGGAGGTGGAGGAGGTCCCCGCTCCCTCGGTTGTGCCTCCCCCTCCCCCGTCCTCGGAGGTGGAGGATGCTCGCAGCAAGCACCAGGCCGTCCTGGCCCAGCGCTTGCTCGAGGTTGCCCGCTCGGGCTCCTCTCGGCCCTCTTCGGGCTAGTCGGCTCTCCTGGCCATCTCTTTCGGCCCAGGTGTCTGCCGTGGCGAGTTTTTCATCGCCTCTTTTTCCTGCCTGCAGGGACTGTGTCGGTTTTCGTCCGACAGCAGGCCCGCTGGCCCACATCTGTCCCTCTCCCCCCGCAGTAGAGGGCCAGGCAGAATGTTGCGGTGCAGAGCGTAGAGCTCAAAAAACCCTACTGCTCCCACTCCACCTGCTGATCATTCCCTCCTCCTCCTCTCTGGCCTCTCTTCCCCTTTCCCGTCATCCACCCTCCTCCTGCCCTTCCCGCCTTCCTCCCTTGTCCATCTACGCCGTCCTCTCCCCGAACCCAAGCCCGCCCGCGCTGGCCCCGCAGGGGCGGTCCTGCTGGACCGTCAGGGCGCGTCTGTGTCTCCTCCTTCCTCCCCTCCCCGCCCCTGTCCTCTCCCCCCCAGGTCCCCCTCTCCTCTTCTTCATCAACTTTGGTTTCGATATCCGTTCATGGGACCTTGAACAGCGACATTGAAGTCAGATTGTTCTGCATGCAGACCGATTTTGGGCCGCATTTGACCCCTCCTCCTCCTCGCCATTCCTGTTCCCCCTCCACCTCGCTCTCCTCGTCTCCCCCGTGAATGGGCGCATCCGGTTCAAATCCGGTCCCATAATTTTGTGTTTCCAAATTTGATCCAAGTCAGGCCCAAATCGGACAGCCCCGAGGGCCACGTAGGCTCCCATGGAACGGACACCAAATTTAGGCAGGGTGAGGACGGACCACGAGCCCCTGGTCCTCCCAGAACGCCCCAGAGCACACAAAGACCCGTCAGAACACACCATAACATTCTGAAACCCATGAAACCCTCTGAATTTCTTCCCCCCTCCCCGAGGTTGGAACTTGCTGAAAGCATTTCCTCCTCCCGCCTGCCTTCCTCCATCTTCTCCTCGCCCTCTTCCCTCCCTCCCGCAGCCCTCTTCCTCCCTTCTCCCACCTCCCCGTCCTTCTCATCCTTCCTTCCTACCTTCCTCAGTCCTCTTCCTCCCTCATCTCACGTCCTCCCACTCCCCCCCCCTTTCGGTATGACGCCCGCGCAGATAGTCGCCAGGTTCAAGGACGAGGCCAACTTCCCGTGGTGCCCGGGCAGCCAGACACAGGGACGACGAGGGGTAGGCAGTTCGAGGATCGAGCGAGGATGGATATTTTTGTTTTACCCTCTGGCGCGTAACGGTCGTTATCCCCCCCCCGCGGTAACGGTAACGATCGTACGCAGGGAGGGGTGGACCCCCGTTGGTGTTGGCGCGCACGCTCTGGGGATCGCAGCGCAGCCTCGCCCCGACGTGCCCCACCCCGCCCAGGCGTTACGTTTACCCGCACCCCACGGGGTAATGACTGCTACCGGAAAAAACAAAAAACATACAACCTTACATTTTAGTGAGTCTTTTCTAACTTCCAAGGGCGCCCTCGTCGCCACGGCTGGGTCCGCCTTGAAATTGGGTGCAGAACGCACGCCAGGATCGACCTGAGCAACCCGAACCTCCAGCGCCACAGACAATTGCAGAGTGTCGTGCGTACAATGGTCGTTGCGTTCAGGAAGTCCGTCTCAGGCCACAGGGCAGTCGTACAACGACCCAGGACGAGATCCTCCTTCTCCTTGGTCGGTCGGTCGACGAGGGCAGAGTCTGGAAGTCCGTATCACGTGTGAGACGTGATCCCCGGCTCCTCCTCCTCCTCCTCCTCTTCCTCTTCGTCTCATCTTTTCTTCCTGTCTTCCTTTTTCTGTTTACATTAATATGACTTCAATCACGGGGCTCGCAGCGTTCTGAAATTTGAAAAAAAAACTGCAGACTTAACGCAGTGAAGTGAGCAAATTAGGCGGCGTGCCCGTGCGGATCAGGAGCTATAAAGAGTAACTGCTAAAGCAGAGTGCCCAAGGGCTAGAGTAACGATGCCTGCCGCCGGTGTGGAGGAGGGAGAACTATCAAGATAAACAACCTAAGTAACCGCCTCCGGATAATTAATCATACCCCCCCCCTTGACCCCAGAGAGTTGGTTCTCTCCGGCTAAGGCAGAGTTGGTCGGGGGAGAGGGGCGGCGAGGCAAAATTCCAAGATGGTGGGGGAAAGTTGGGAATCGAAATTGCTATCTTCTTATGTTGAGTAGCAACATCATCACGAATATGTGGCACGGCTACTATCACTACGAATACCATCGCTACGAATGCTATCATTATGTTGTGTAAATGTGTTTTCTATTATTATTATTACTACTACTACTACGACTACTACTACTACTACTACTACTACTAGGACGTCGAGCGGAGGCGGACAGGGGGCGGAAAAGAAGTGGTATTCACGGGGGGCGGAAGCAAACGCTTGAGCGTAACACGATGGCCACAAAAGTTGCTACATTAGGGCCGCAGGCCACTCACGAAGCACTTGCCTGGCCCCAGCAGCCGCGGCTACCACCAGTGCTGGCTGCCGCCACCGAGCACAACCTGCACCTGCCTCGTCACCACCATCCCTTCTGGCCGCGGCTGCGGCCGGCGCCGTTTGGCACCAGTAGCCCACGCTGGCCCCAACTAGCCCTCGCTGGTTCTGTAAGGGGTTGCACGGCGCCACGTTAGGATGGGTGGCGGCGCGCCTCGCCAGCGAAGCACCCGCGCAGCGAGGCCACATTGCGCGGCTGTGCGAGGTGCTCGGGCGCAGCGCAAGGGCTTCAAGGCGAGAGCGCGTGCGCCTCTTGCAGTGCGGCCTGCTGGGGCTGCGACCGTGGACCATCGTCGTCATCAGATCATCACCAGCATCCTTCTCCTCACCACTCATCATCATCGTCACTCAGATGTCATCCGCATCATCGTCGTTATCCAGATCATTATCATTCCTCACGCGCATCCCATCACTTGCCACCCAAGACCCACCGGTCATCATTCATCATCAGCAGCATCATCATCGTGCTAGTCACCAACATAATCAACAGTGTTGTCATCATCGTCATCGTCGTCGTCGTTATCACCATCATCGTTGTCGTCATCCGAATGACCATCATCATCAGATTTATCGTCGTCACCATCATCATTATCATCATCATCACTATCATCATGGACGTCGTCATCATCATCATCATGACCACCATCATCATCATCATCATCATCATCATCATTATCATCATCATCATCATCATCATCATCATCATCATCATCATCACAGTCACCAGCATCATCACCGCCACTACCGTCATCATCATTATCAGCATCGGCATCATAACCATCGTCATCATCATCAGCACTATCATCATCAGTGTTATCACTATCATTAGCATAATCATGATGATCGTCATCGTCAGCGTCATCAGCAGCATCATTCATATCATCATCGCCATTACCAGTCATCATTACCAGTCATCACTCATTGTCATCCTCATCGTTATATCCGTCATCATCATCAACAACATGGTCATCATCAGCAGCATCATACTCAGTACCACCATCATCATCATCATCAGCATCATCATCACCATCATAATAATAATCATCATCATCATCATCGTCATCATCGTCATTACCAGTATCATTATGGATAATCGGTTGCAACATCATCAAGTTGATGGTTTCGGTGCCACTGGGTCTCCTATCCGTTTTCATTGTTCTTCACTGGCAGCCTCATTACCGTCCGCCGCTACGCCCCCTCGCCCTCAGGTACGTGTTCCCCCAGCAGCTGCGCACGCGACGCTTTGAGGAGTTGTGGCAGCTGGCGCACCGTACGCAGAACCGGGCCGCGCTGTCAGCCGTGAGGCCCGGGGGTCACAGCAAAATAGTGCCCATGTCAGACATCATGCGCTCTGAATGACTCAGGACGGTCAGGGTTTCACGGTTTGTGGGCTCCGCATGCCGAGCCCTGGGACTCAGAAGAACACTTCTTACACGGAGCAGAGCGTTCAGTAACGCTCTGAGAAGGCCGCGGCGCCCGATACATTCTCCAGTTCTCCAGAGTTGCCAAATGTCAGAGAGTCTCGATTCATCCCTGTCTGATTTTGTCCCTGTCCGAGTTTGTCCACTGATTTTCTCGTTCACGAAGGAGACTTCGTGCGCGTTCCACTTAGACTCCAGCAGTGATATTTGAGTTTAACCACAGTCGCGCAGGGCAGGACTCTGGGCCGAGCATTGACTCGATTTATCCTCGTACGAATTTATGATATTTTTTCTTATTCGGACCGAGGCTGCTGACGGATGCCGCGCACGACCGCGGCAGGGCCAGCGCCTCCGCGCGAGGCCAGCCGGGCGCCGCTGGGGTCCAGGCCATGGCGGGGGAGAGTCAAACAGTGGCGAGGCGTCCCAGCTTGCATATAGGCCCACCGAAGAATGTTCTAAGAGCCTTTTGCGGCTGGCATTGAATGTCCTGAAAGCCTCACTGGTTGAGGCCGTCATGTTACAAAACAGAAGCTCTATGACATATGTGACAATTGCTTTGGTTTTAAGAGCACTCTTTTGATCTAAGGACATTTCGTGGTAGGCCGATGGGAATGCTGGGACTGCTGGTCCCTTCTCAAGAGAGGACGTCGTCGTCGTCGTCCCTGTGGGGCGGCACCCGTGGAGCGCCGCGCTCACTCCTCGCCTCTCCCCTGTACCCAGACATTCACCGTCCTGACCAAAGTCACGAAGGGAGGTGTGTTTGGCCCCCCCCCTCGCCTTCGACGACGTCGTCGTCGCCGGCCCGGCCTGGCCACCACGACGCCTGGGTCGACGGCGACGACGACGACGACGATGACGTGCCCTCTGGTGCCCGCCCGTCGTCGTCCTGGCTTCACGCCCACGAGGCCCCTCCGCCGCTCAGGATGGCGGGAGGCGAGAGAGAAAGAAAACAGGCATGAGGAGGGGAGTGTGGCCGGGAGGGTGAGTGGGAGGGGAGGGGAGGAGAGGGGAGGGGAGGGGAGGGGAGGGGCCGGAGGGGAGGGGTGGGATTGGAGGGGAAGAGGGAAAGGGTGATGGCAGGAGGGAGCGAGGGCAGGGGACGCACGACGACGACGCGCACCTGCCCCTCTGCCGCTCAGGTGGCCTCGGGGGACGCGCCGGGCCCCGCGGCCGCGCCCGCGCCGCACCTCTCCTCTCGCTCCGCGAAGAGGGCCATGCGCAGCGGCCTCGAGCCCGGCTCCGCGCACGGGAAGGGCCCCCGCGCGGCGGGCGCCGGGTGAGTTGGATGCCGAAGTTCCGAGGGTGAGTTAGGGCAACGGCAGTGGATTTTCGGGGGGGGGGGGGGCCCTCGTCGCTACGTCTGGGCGCAGCTCGGATGACGGGTGCGTTTAGGCCCCAGGAGGGGCCCGGGGACCGGTTCTGAGCTTACCAGCCTGGAACATAGTTATCCCTATCCCTATGCTGGGCACCTCCTCATCACGATGCCAATCTTAGGGACTCCCTTATGTATTGAGGGCGAATCCCTGAGATTGTCATCGCCTCTTGGCGTGTCAATCTTAGGGATAGGGATACGTTCGAGGCTGGTAATGAGCTGCCGTTGTCTCAACTCGCCCTGCTCCGAGGAGCGTCGCCTGGGATCCCAGGCGTACCTCACGAGCCGCGAGCATATCCGTACCCACGCCCTCGCGGTCTGGATTCCAGGACGCGATCCCGCGGTTTGGATTCCAGGGCGCGATCCTGCGGATGCGCGGTCGCACGGATACGTTCCGCGTGGGGCATCCGCGAAAATGCGCCCCACATCCGCGGGGTCGCGGCCCAAGGGCCCGGCCCGCGAGGCCGCGGATACGGATACGTGTTTCGCCCACGTGAGCCCGAGCCTGGAAGATGGTGCTGCCAAAAAAAAGGCAAGCCCGCTGCTCCAGGTTCCTCTCTCTCTCTCTCGCCTTCATTCGCCTGATGTTCCTCCCGCTCCCTCTCCCGTTCCCACGGCCCATGCTGCTCCTGTGTTTGCCCCCTCCTCTTATTCGGTCGGAGCGAGACGTAAACACATGCTCGGTCAGGGAAGGGTGCCTGGTGCTCTTCGCTTGATGCTCTTGCAGTGAGGCTGTCTTTCTGTGCCTGTTCCGAATGTACTCGTCTTCCCGCTCGTGCTGCAGGGAACGTTCACTCCTGCTGCTGCTGCAGGCCCCTCCGCTTCCTCGTCCCGCTTCCTCCTGCTCCTCGTTGCTCCTGGTCCTCCGACCGGAGCGTGCTGCTTGGCGCAGGCATTGGTAACTATCTTGTTCTTGCCCCTCCTGCTCCTGCTCGTCCCGCTGCTCCCCACCCTCTTGCTGAATTGCCCCGGTCTGCTGGGACCCTGGGGGGCAACGTCAGGGTGACCCTCGTGCCATCAACAACGGATCAGCAGTGAGCCTCACTCCTCCTGCTCCTCACCCACCTCCCCTCTTTCCCCTCCTCCGTTCTGCTCCTGGTGCGACGGCATCGGCCCCAATCGGCGCCCCGCTGCCGTGGGGGCCGAAAGTCTGGAAAGGGCGCTGGGACACATCAGAAGTCACGCCGCCAGACGTACGGCCCACCAGGGGGACGAGAGGAGATGAGGAGGGCGGCCTGGGGACGAGGACCCTGGGGCGACGAGGAGGAGAAGCATGAGTAGGAGCAGCAGGAGCAGAAGGCAGGAGCCAGAACGAGAGAGAGAGAGAGAGAGAGATGTGTGTAGCATCGAGGCAGAAAGAGAGAGAGAGAGAGAGAGAGAGGGAGCGAGCAAACCGAGGGAACAGCAGAGGAGGGAGAGAAAGAGAGAGAGAGAGAGAGATTCACAGGGCGGCCACTTCCCCCCTGAGGTCCGCATTAGCTGCTGGACCTCCGGAGGAACGGCGAACGCGGACCTCCTTCAATCCGTTCAATTCGAGGAGTTTTTATCCGGCGGCTTCACGCAGAAAAACTGACGCGATTGTGCCGACATTCGCGCGTAAGTTGCCCGCGTAAGATCGCGCGCGAGCGCCCTCGTTTCAATGTAGCGTGCCGCGCTGGCGGCCCACGTAATGCACCGCGTGAGGTTGCCATGCCATCGTGCGTGAGACCCGTTGCTTCTCGTCGCTGACACGACAGCGCCCCCCTCCACCTTCCACCCGCTGTCGCTTCTCCTCGCTCGCACGGCAGGGCCCCCCCCCCTCCCACCTGCCCCCCCGCAGCCTGCGCGGCGCAGCCGCCAGCGACAGCGCCAGCGCCAGCGACAGCGCTAGAGCGCCAGCGCGCGGCGAATCCGCCGCCGCCAGCGCCACAGGCGCCGCCGGCGCTGCGTCAGCGCGTTGCGACGACGCTGCTGCCAGCGCCGAGGCCGCGGGCTGCCGCGCGTCGGAGTCCGCTGGGGCGCTGCCGGCAGTGTCCGTGGCCACGCCGAGGGGGCGGCCGCCCCCAGGCAAGGCGCCGCCGCCCGCCAAGGCGCCGAGCGGTGTCGCGCCGCCGCTATCCTGCTGGTGCTGCGCTGGCACGGCCGACGCCGCGTGGTGGTCGTCGTCATATCATCGTGGTCGTGGTCGTCGTCTTGGTCGTAGGTATGGTGGTCGTCGTCATGCTCGTGGTCGTCGGCGTGGTCGTCATGGTCGTCGGTGCCGTCGTCGTCGTCGTCGTCGTCTTCGTGGTCGTGGTCGTCGTCGTCGTTTGGGTCACGCGGTGGCGGGAGCTGGAGGAGGTGCAGGAGAAATACTCAGGAGGAACAGGTGGATCAGCAGAAGCTGGGGGAGAAGGAGGATGAGCAGCAACAGGTGCAGTTGGAGCAGGAGGGGGAGAAGGAGGAGAAGGGGGAGGAGTAGGAGGAGGGTGGAGAATGCGACGGCCAAGGTTGGATGCAGAGAAGGAGTAGCAGGAGAACCCGAGACAGAGAGGAAGGGAGGGACGAGGGGGGAGGGGCGTGGAGGGAGGGACGGAGAGGGGAGGGAGGGAGGGAAGGAACCCGTTCATTGATGCTCTCGGTGAGCAGAAGGGAGCGCATTGCTTAGTGCACCTCTGCAGCTGGCTGAGTCGACGACCGCAGGCGGGGCACAAAAACCAAGGTTCCTCTCCTCGTCCCCTCCCTGGTTGGTGTCCTCCGTAGTCGCAAGCTGCCTTTCGAACACCACCGCGGCAGGAGCCAGGATCATCATTCCCAGAAGATTGGCGCTCGCTCTACCGCTCGTATTACACACGGTTTGCACAACCACAGCTGGCAGCGCACAAGCCATTTGATCACACATGAGCTACAAGAGTTTCTCTCGAGTCCTCTATGTCTTCTCCCCCCGCACTGCTATCATTCCCTTACCACCCCTCTCTCTCAGAGGATACGCTTACACCTCGGCTTCATTACCAAGCCGCATCAAGTCACACCTATCGTCTGGTATGGGTTGGCACTGCGTGCCCCCAATTGGGGGCCACCTCTGCAGTTATGTATCTGACCTCCCCCTTTCCCCGGGCGGGGCTAAGACAGAGATACGCAGTTTCAGAGCGTCCCAGAGCGCTCTCAGAGCGTCCTGGAACGGTCTGACAAGACCGCGGCGCCCGATCTCAGAGATCCCCGATCTATCCCTGTCTAATTTTGTCTCTGTCCAAGTTTGGTCGATGTCTTTTTCGAGCACGAAGGAGACTTCGTGCGTGCCTCACTCTGGCTCCAACAGTGAAACTTCAGGTTCACCGCAGTCTCGCCCGACTCTGGGCCGAGCATTGACTCGATCGGACTACCTGGCTGCCTGGCTTCGTCTTAGTATTCACTCTCTGTGCGGCCGTGCTGTTCAAGCTTTCTTGCTCTAGCTGGCACGTGCATGCGGCATGTGCGCCTCCATCCAGAATTCAAAACGAAAGTGAGCACCATATAAATGATCACTTTAGAAATGAGTTCGGTGTACCTGCTCGCTGCTCCCCCTCCCCCCTCCCGTGCGCGCACGGGGGCGCTGCGCGCGCGGAGGAAGGTGCAGCGCGCGCGGAGGGGAGGGAAAGGGGGAGGGAAGGAGGGAGGGAGGGAGGGACCCATTGCTACATCAGGCTTCGCTACGAGGATGGCGAGAACGTGCCACAACGGGCCTTGAAGGATACCCCACGCCATCGTACAAGCTCGTCCAATTCATGGACATCGCCTTCGAGATGTAGTACAACGGCGGACGAGGACTACGACAGAGGGCAAGGACTACCACTTCCAGGCCGTCATCTACTTCGTTGGCATCGTCAAGAAGCGCAAGACGGACAAGGCCAGCGAGACCAACGCGGACAAGAAGGAAGGACGATGACGTTAAGGAGTCCAGCTGAAGGGTACAACAGACATCGGCGGCAACCTGTACTACGTGGGCGCGTTTCCAGGCTGATTTCAGTGCCGACCGCAGGTTGTACATAGTCTACTTGAGACTTGCCGCGTGCGCTTGATTGGTCCCGGACAGAGTGTACGCCCCTCCTACCGTACCCACCGGGATCCTCTCACAAGCGCGCGCACGTGTGTACAGCACGCCAGTGGGCACTATTGGTGTCGGAAGTGTACCTACATTGACTTGGACATCCCGAGGGCACGAGGACCTACCCTGCGTATGATATACTTCTGGCCTACATACCCGCCGACCCAGTCCGCTTTCTCACATTTCTATTAGTTGGTCATCTTAGATTGGCACACCAGTTGATCATCAACTACATCCGGTTCTCACCTGAACTTTTGGGTCGACCAATGGTTACAGTCAAAGGCGCCTTTTGCACTCACCGCTCATACGTGCACGACCAACTCCCAAGGTGCCGGTGACGTTGCCAGCAAACAAGACATGACGCTGGCGGCGGCGGGCATTTGGCTACGCGATGTGGGCTTCGAGAATATGTGGATTTACGTCGTCTGCAGAGCCACGCAAAGTACGGACTAGAAGACTTTCTTCATCATTGCAGGCATCAAATCCGTGCTGAAGCACCACTTGAAGGACTTGTACCACAGACATCGACATCTACAAAGCCGAGTACGTAGCGATGCCCTGGAGGTTGCCACCAACGACAGAGCAGACGGATCCCATAACGGGCAAGAAATACCACTGCCGCTTGGAGGCGCACTCTTGGGAATCAGCGGCACGCTACTACCACTACATGCCCCCGGGCCACTATAGGTAGCACTAAATCACACTGGATACCGCTATCTCTCCTTCTACCATCGGCGACCTCGAGATCGCTATCATCGCCACAATCTATTGGCCATGAATACACCGAACACGATCGAACGCAATATCAGCACACGCAGATGAAGGTGCACGACATGAACCGCAGAACCCAGGAGCTACCAGACGGCCTGAAATTTCATGATCAACCTGCATTGGCGGGTGGTTCGGAGCATTTCATCGAGCTATTGGATCAATTTGGTACCTCGATCGCTGGAGAATACTGCAGCACCATGGGCCGACCGTCGCCGAGAGGCGGAGGAGGAGGAGGAGGAGGAGGAAACGGGGGAGGCGCATGGGGTGCCGAACATTCCGACGAAAAGGAGGAGGAAAAGGAGGAGGAAAGTAATACATACGACGACGACGGTGAAAACGAGGTTCAAGCGACGAGGAGGACCCTTGGTCGACGCGTCGCAGCGCCCCACGAGGAGAGCGACGAGGAGCGCGTGGAGAACGAGGGGGGCGACGATGACGTCAAAAGCGAGGGGGCTGGAACGATGTCGAGGAGAAGGAAGACCCAGACGTCCGACGTCGATATTTTGTTCGCGGCGTGGCTACCCAAAAGTCTGTACCCTTTCCCGAGGACCTGCTTTGAATCCAGAGTCGTCTGATGGCGGTCCGTTGGCTTTGTGCGGGCCAACGGAAGCTGAAGATTGTCAAAAAGTTGTCGTCGTCATTTTTGTACGGCGCGATGGCTTCATGGACGGACGACGACGACGACGGCGACGGCGACGGCGACGGCGACGGCGACGGCGGGCGGCGGCAGCGGCAGCCTCCCCTGGGCCGTCCATTGGGGAGGCCAGCGCGATTGCGGGGCAAACGGCGACGACGACGACGCTGTGCGGGCTCGAGGAGCAGGCCGAGGGCGAGGAAGTGTAGCGGAGGTGACGACGACGGTTGCGAAGGCGACGGCACGACGCCGCCAGGCGAAGCCAGCCGGCCCTCCGCCGCCGCGGCCGCAGGCGAGGTTCGCCCGGCCGGGGCCTGGAGGCGCGTTCGGGCGCTCGCGCTCCTGGGTGGGCGGTGGGTTGGGGGGCCTAGAGTGCACCCATGATGACGGTTTTTCGGGACATGGACACGGGACATCGGGATGGATGACGATTCATCGAGACGGAGGAGGCTGCGAGCGTATTCATGACGACGATTCCTCGGAAAAGGGGGAGACGATTCATCGGGAGGGTTGACGATTCATCGGGACGGAGGAGGCTCCGAGCGCACCCAGGATGACGGTTCCTCGGGAGGGGGGAGACGATTCATCGGCACGCACGACGATTTGTCGGGAGGGAGGAGGCTTCGAACACACCCAGGATGACGGTTCTTCGGAAGGGGGAAGGCGATTCATCGGGAGGGATGACGGTTCATCCGGAGGGACGAGGCTGCGAGTGAACCTTGCATGGCGACTTCTCGGGAGGAGGGGAGGACGATTCATCGAGCGGGATGACGGTTCATCGGAAGGGAGGAGAGGCGACACCACCACCACCACCAGGGGTCCAGCGAGCTTGGGATAGGGGATAAAAGGATGTCTCGAGCGAGAGCGGGAGATACGCGGATGCCCCTCCGAAATGGGGATGGGGGATGTCTCGAGCGAGAGGGGGGGGGACCGCACCACCAGGGGGACCGACCCTGGCTCCCTCACGCTGGTGCCCCCTGGTGCATGATTGGGAGGGGGAGGGGGTATCAGTGGTACGCTGCCGTCGGGAAAGAGGCGGGCGTGTTAGTCCTTCGCTCTTGTGAGGAGGCCGTGGCACGCCGTGGCCTCCCAAGGGCGGCGTGCCACTGTTGTTTCCCAACCCTCCTGTGTTGGGCTCTCGTTTCGACTAGAGCACTAGGGCATCCAGTCCTCCTCCCTCCTTCCTGCCTCCTGCTTCCTGCCGTCTGCTTCATGTTTCCTCCCTGCTGCCTCCTACCTCTCCCTTCTAACATGGGCTTCCTGGGGCCTTCCTGAGGGCCTGGAGCGGACGTCCAACATGAAGATGTGTTGAGGATGTCTCGAGCGAACCACTTGTTTTCACGTGTCCAGGTCGCCCAGGCGGATGTCTAACATGAGGGGGTACGTCCATTGGCACGTTCCGTAGCGCGTCCCCTTGGCACGTCCCGCGGTGCGTCCCCGTGGCACGTCCCCTGGCACGTCGCCTAGCGCGTCCCTTGGGACGTTCCGCGGCGCGTCCCCCTGTCAGTTAGCTCTGGGGCAGCTACTAAGTGCTCAGGCAGCTCGAGCTTCAGATCCAGATCAGTTTGGTCAGGACTCGGATGCAAAGGAGGACTCGATCCACAACGCTATAGTGCACAATCGCGGCATGGCACATCGCAGTTCAGCACGGCGCAACACAGCACAACCCCCGGCACGGTACATCAAGATCGATACATTCAGCATTGCAACTTGGCACGTGTCTTGGCACGTCCATTGGTACGTTCCGTTGCGCGTCCCCTTGGCACGTCCCGTGGTACGTCCCCGTGGCATATCCCCTGGCACGTCGCCCGGCGCGTCCCTTGGGACGTTCCGAGGCGCGTCCTCCTAGCATGTCCCACTGTAAATTAGCTCTCGGGCAGCTACTGTGTGCTCAGGCAGCTCGAACCTAAGATCCAGATCAGTTCGGTCAGGACTCAGATGCAAAGGAGGACTCGATCCACAACGCTATAGTGCACAATCGCGGCATGGCACATCGCAATTCAGCACGGCGCAACACAGCACAACCCCCGGCACGGTACATCAAGATCGATACATTCAGCATTGCATTTGCCCGTCGCCTAATCAGGTGCCTTTGAATCGTTGCCATGCCTTGCATTTCTATATGTCTTTCCGGGTTCGTGGGCCGATCATGTTGAGGAGTTCTCATGGATCTCCTTTGGTGCGCACTGGAGCTGTCTTGGACTCTTGTGGGGCTGTTTCGGGGTTCCCTCGGAATCGTCTTGGGACCTTCGTGGGCCGTCTCATGGGTTCTCTTAGGCAGTCTTGGGGCCATCTTGGCCGTCTGTAGGGTCGCGTGGGGCCGTCTTGGGTCATCGAGGGGCCATCTGAGGCCGTCTCGGATCCGTCTAGAAGCCCTCCGGGACAAATTTGGGTCTCTCTTGGGGCCGTCCTGGGCCGTCTAGGGGGCCTCTTTGGCCGTTCTGAGGCTGTATTGGAGGCCTCTTGGGTTGTTTTGGAGCCCTCTTTGGCGGTCACGTCGTCGTCGTCGTCGCCGTCGCAAGGATGAGGAGGCGTGCGAGGAGTAGGATAGCAGTGGAGTTGGGGGGGGGAGGACGAGGGAGGAGAGGGAAGGAGAAGGATGGACGGCGTCTTTCGTCGTCGTCATTCGTCCTCGCAGTCCGCCGTCAGTCGTCAATCGACGTCGTCGTCTTTGTCATTGTTGTCTTCGTCGACGTCGTCCTCGTAGTCGCCTTCTTCGGCCGTCGGTCGTCGGCCGTCGTTCGCTGATGCCGACGTGCGCTCTCGCACGCGCATATCCGACCTGGGAAGATGAGGAAGATGAGATGGAGAAGGGTGGGGAGGAAGATTATGAGCATGACGATGACGCTGATAAGGCGGAGGAAAATGAGGAGGAGCATAGGACGAGGAGGGGGATGATTATTGAGAAGGGCGCTGCCCTCTACCCAGGGGCAGGGGGCAGCGTCGCAGTCAGAGAGGTGAGGTGACGGGTCGTCGTCATCGTCGTCGTCGCCGTCATCGTCGTCGCCGTCGCCGTCGTCGTCGCCGTCGAAGTCGTCGTCGTCGTCGTCGTCGTCGTGGTCGTCGTCGTCGTTTCCTCGTCTCGTCGTCGTCGTCGTCGTCGTCGTCGTCGTCGTCGTCGTCGTCGTCGTCGTCTCGTCTCGTCTCGTCTCGTCTCGTCGGCGCGGCCTTGTAGTCGTCGTCCCCTGGAAGGTTTCGTCGCGGGTCCTCTTGGGCCGTCCTGGGGGCCTCTTTGGCCGTCATGCCGCCTTATTGGTGCCCTCTTGGCGGCCTCCTGGGCAATTTGGGAGCCCTCATGGGGGCCTGTTGGGTTGTTTTGGAGTGTCGAGGAGCCGAAAAGGCGACAACTCCAAACTCCTTTCAAAACCAATGGAATATTGAGGAATCTTGCATCCTGACGCCCTCTTGGGAGCGCTGTCGGAGGCCTCTAGGGGCGTCTTGGGCCGTCTGAAGGCCATCTTGGGCGTCTTGGAGCGATGTTTCGAAGACTCGACTCGGGGCTCTCTTGAGGCCCTTTGCACTCGTTCTGGGTCCGTCTTGTCTTCGAAACGTCTCGCGATAACACGTGCCGGGGCCCGTGAAAAAACCGCTGGGGGCCCAAGGGAATTTAAGAATCTGGGGCCCGGGCCCGTAATACTAGATCCTGGGAGGATTGAGGACTGCGGATTACAAGGGACCTGATGACACTCCAACTCGTGTATCGCAGCACGATGGCGGTTGTGGGGCAGGAGAAGAGCGGGAGCAGCAGCAGTAGCAGCAACAATAGCAGGTGCAGCAGGAGCACGGGCAGGAGCACGAGCAGGAGCGTGAGTAGGAGCAGGAGCAGGAGGGGGAAGGGGAACGGGGGGAGCAGGAGCAGGAGCGGAGCGGACGCAAGCGCAGGAGCACGAGCGGGAGCAGCAGGAGGAGGAAGAGAAGGAACGAGGAGGAAAAGGGCAGAGGCGGAGGAGGAGGAAACAGGAACAAGGGATAATGAAGGGGAATCTGAAGAGGGGGATCATGATGATGAGAAAAGGGGAGAGGACTGATGATGAAGAGGAAGAGGGTGACGACGACGACGACGACGACGGCGGCGGCGGCGGTGGCGACGACGGGAAGGAAAAGGAGAAACAAGCAGGGAACGAGGGAGGGATTGGGGGAGGAGAAGGGCGCTTTGAAGAGGAATGATGATGATGGTGATGATGATGATTATGATGATGGTGACGATGATGATGATGATGATGATGATGATGATGATGATGATGATGATGATGATGATGATGATGATGATGATGATGATGATGATGATGATGATGATGATGATGATGATTATTGGGCGATGTTGATGATGAACTCCGAATGTCACTGAGCACCGTGTATATTTCACTTAACCTCTTAACTTGGGACCAGCTGCGACGATTGCGTAAAGGGGCCGGGCGGAAGCAAGGCAATCTTCGCAACGTTCGCGGCGACCTGGTTGACTCCGAGGTCCGTGCGGACACGCTGGCAGACTTCCTGACGGAGGTGCAGTGGGCCGCGCGCGACACCACGCCGATGTCGACAACGCCCCTTGGCCCCGACTTGCCGGTCAATTTGGGGCAGATCGAAGACTGGGAGGTGACCGAGGCAGCCAAGCGCATGAAGTGGGGCAAGGCGTGCGGCAGTGACGGCATCCCCGGCGACTTCTGGAAAGCGGTCTGCGCTCGCGACTCCCCGGCGAGAGCTTGGGCGCTAGCGTTGTGCCGGCGGTGTTGGGACCAGGGCGTCGTGCCAGAATCTTGGCACAATTCTTTAGTGATTGCATTGTTCGAAAAGGGCGACGCCACGCTCTGCGGCAACTACAGACCAGTGTGCCTGCTTCAGGCCGGGTACAAGTTGTTTGCGCTTCTTCTCCTCCGCCGCTTGAAGGAGGCCGGGGCCGAGGGCCGCATTTGGGGCACCCAGTTTGGATTCAAATCGCGCCACGGCACCACCGACGCTATCTTCCTCGCCAGGCGGAGGCTGGAGGAAACGTGGTCGAACGCAGAGGGCCAGCTCGTGCTGCTCGCTCTGGACTGGGCCAAGGCGTTCGACAGCGTCATGCCAGGGCCTCTGCTGAAAGCGCTGCAGCGCTTCGGAGTCCCAGGGAAGATGTTGACAATGATTCAAGCCATTTACACGGGCAGGAACTTCGCGGTTCGCGAGGCCGGCGTGACGTCCGGGACCCGCGAGCAGCACGCGGGAATCTGTCAAGGTTGTCCTCTTTCACCCTGTCTCTTCGCCATGGTGATGAAAGTGCTGCTGCGCGACGCCCGGGTCACGCTGGGCGACCGCATGGGGGACACGGAGGATCTCATGTACG